CCCACCCCGCCTTTGCTGACACACAAGACTGTATTCTCTCCTTAAGTTGCTTTGGTCAAGTATTTTGTCATGAAGAAAGTAGCCAATGCGGGCTCTATGGGCCATCACAAGTCTTAGAGAGGCAAAGAAGGCACAGGCAGGAGGGGGAGGCAGGAACTGGGGCAGAGACCTCACTACAGAGACAGAGGATTGGAGAGCTGTAGCCACAAGTCAAGAGATGAAAATTAAGACGGTGGAATAGGCCAAAGAATGGATTCTCTGGAAGTCTCCAGACCGTGCGTTGTCCTGCTGACCTGCATTCTGTAGGCTTGACTTTCTCTACTACAAAAGTCGATTTCTCTTGCTTTTAAGCTAGTTTGTGATAACTTGTTACAATTAGCGGCTCCAAACTAAAATACTGTTCAAGTGAGTGTTGTTCCCTATCAGGTCATTGGCGGCGTTCAGTCCAAGTTGTAATGATTTTCTCGCTGGTTTTAATGTCTTTCTCAGCTGGTCACAGGCAGGGCCCAACTTTTACAACTAGCCTCTTGACATAGCATCTAGAACCCTTAAGACAGCACTGATGTCAATTCAAGTCAATCTTTTTTTTTTTGTCTTTTTTGAGACAGGGTCTCCCTGTAGTCCCAGCTGACCTGAACTCACTATGTAGACCAGGCTGGCCTTGAACTCACAAAGGCAAGTCACAATTTTTAGCTTTTGAGAGTTCAGTGGTCTAGAATGACCAGTCCCATTTTCCAGGGCCTTCTCAAAGCAAGACTATACAGCTTCCTCAAGGAACCCATGTTTGGGAGTCTATGAACCAAAGTCCACCTGGCCAAACACCAGTCTCCAGAATCTCTAGACTTCAAGCCGGTGTGACGATCCCTCCGGAGCCCAGTGGGGACCAGAGGCAGCTCCAAGGAGCGCACCTGTCACAGGTGACCTGGGCTCTATTTTCCCAGAGCCCCTCGGTTGCCGGGGCAACCCCTTAGCGTAGCCTGAGGTACAGCTTGCAGGGCCCAGTGCGCAGGCGCCTCCTGGGAGCCAATGGGCGCGGCTGGAGAGCCGAGCGGGCTGCGCCGACTGTCGGACCTGCCCGGAGGGGCGGTTGTGCTCGGAGCGCGGGTCCTCCCGGTAGTCCTCCGTGGCAGAGCCCGCAGCGCCCTCCGCAGGTCTCCATGGCGTGGGTCGGCGGCTGCAGGCGGAGCTGATAGGGCCGAGGGAGCGAAGAGAACCGAGCCGGGCCGAGCCCGCCGCCGGCCACGCCCTGAAGCCCCAGTTCCGTGTCCCCAGATCCCGGGCCTCTGCGGGAATGTTCAAAAATGAGTACCAGGTAACCCGAAGGGGCGCCGCACACGGCCTGGGGGCGAGGCGGCTCGGGGTCGGGGAGAATCGAGCCCCCGCTCGGCGAGTGGAAAGGAACGAATGGCTGAGTCCTCTGGACCCTCTCCAGCCCGGTGCTTCTCAGCGCAGGCTTGGTGGTTCATCACGGTGCACGTCCTAACCGCCAAACATCCGGAATCGGAATCCTGAGGCAGGCCCCAGAAATGTTGCCTTTACACATTTCCTTATGTCCTCTAAATCTGGTGAATGGAAACCATAGATAGGGTTTGTAGACCTACGTTTTAAAACAACTCCCCCAAATGAGCCTGATGCTGTTGGTCCAAGGATCACATTTGGACGGACCATGCTGCCTCTGAGTGGTCCTTGTCCCCACGGATGCCCTTTTCCGCAGCGCTCCGAGTGGCTTCTTTTCTGCCCTTCCTGCCTCGTCCCTCCTGGCCTCATCTTGGAGCTACACTCTGTAGACCATCTAGTCCCAGTCCTGCTGTTAGGAACTTAGTGTACCTAAACGCTCCTCCCCTGGCCTTCTCTGTTGCCCCATCCTTTTGGCCAAATGATACTTGTCCTTAGAGTATTGCACCCTTTTGCTCTTTTAAAAAATCATACGGGTTAGAATAAATGTAGAGATTCTACCTCGATTCATGTAAAATAACATTATTCTTAGGAAATAGATGCCCATGTGGGCAGTTTGGAAAACACGGGGAAGAAAAAGAAATGGGGGAGAAAGGATTGTTATTTCAGCAAGTTTAAGGGGGATTTCTCTTTTTAATAAAGCCCAGCTGCCACAAACACAATTCACAGTAAAACATGACCTGCCCTTCCAAGCTGCAGCAGCTCTACCCTGTGTACAGTTTTGCACATGGTAAGAAATAAGGAAGCAGGTGTGGGTATGACAGAAGCAAAAATATATTACTGTGGGGGGGAAACTGGAAAATTTTACAAAAATTAAACACATTTTCTCATATGTTGCTTAAATTCTTTCTTTGAGATAATCATTTAATTCCCCTATTACAAGCAAAGTATATGGGCACTAGTAATATCTGATTTTTCTGTGTGACTGTGGTCTCCAGTTTATGGTAAGGAGCTAGTAGTCTACACAAATGATTCTTTTCCATTTGTGAAATGTGTATTTTGGTTCTTCTATACATCCAAAATGATATTCATATTTTTTTAAAAAAGCTTCTAGAAATGCTCCAGTAAGAATCACCGCCCCCCAACCCTTCCTAGACCTTTTAGAAACCAGTCTAAGCTGTTTACTTTCCCTCTTTTTACGTAATCTTTGATGGCACCATTGAGCCCTTGCTGTGTGCTGAGTATTTGCTTGATGATTTTTGTTTGCTGTCCTGTGTAATCCAACTCATTTGGCAGATGGAAAAATCAAGATGTTAAGTAACACCAAATTCAGAACGTTAAAAAGGCAGGTATCTGGGCCCCATCAGTATGACTAGGAAGCTTAAATTCATGCATAATGAGCAGAATTTGTTGACTTAGCTCACAAATTGAGTTTAAGCCCTTTAGTCTGTTTGCATAGACTATTTTGCAAGCTGACCTATACATATCAAGTAAATGAACCCCAAATGTAATATTTATAGGGCATAATTTATCTAATGTTTACCATGTTTTAAAATCTATGTAATGTTTACCATGTTTTCAAAAGTGAGTTCCTTAAAGTGTTAATGCAAGGTGACCCAAATCAGAATGGTTGTGGCTTATATATACACAGTCAAGGTGTAAAGTAGGGATAATAACAGGAATAATGTTTCTTCCCGGGATCTGTGTAGCTGGCAGATGCTTGGAACACTGGTTTTAGACTTTGTGGTGGATACTATTTCTTCTATAGCATTGTATTTCACTTTAAATTGCTTGTTTTCATTTTCTAGGGAGGTGCATTTGTTGAAATCTTTAGTGCCCAGGGCAAAAATCCTGGAGCAAAATGGAAGATCCTTGGCAGTCCATCTGTGATTTGGAAAGTAAGTGTTAGAAGTTAAGAGTCATGTAATCCTGGGAAGAAATGTGAGGGAAGGCTATAGCAAAAGGGGCAGGGGACACATTTGATCAGACTTCAGAACTGTTTTTCTTGTTCTTTTACCCCAAAACTCTTTCATGATGTTGGCTGCAGGCCTTCTAGACACTCCTTGATTGCTTATGACTGCCACATGGCTCATACCTGGGGTGTGCTCTGGATCTGGCTCTACCACTTTAGATAGCTTTGATTTCAACAAAGAAAATTTCTCTAAGCCCTGAACCTCCCAGTTTATTGATTCCTTCATCTCTAATGACCTCTTCCATTCTGCCACAGCCTTGTGCCCACCATCACACCCTTGACCTTGTCACCATAAACAGCAGGGATTTCTGAAATTGTGAAGTGAGACACAGAGATGTCTCACTCTGACTTCACTCAGTCTTTAATCCTTAAGATCACTCATTCAGTTACTCCACTGTTAGTTCCTCAGTCTGGTCGGGGCCTTTAGGCCACACACTCTTCTGTTTTCCTCCTGTGTTTAGTTGTACTTGGTTTCTCCAAGTTCTCTTCCTTTTTCCTCCAGCATACAACCTAAAGTAAAATCTAAAGTATCATTTCAGTCACTTCCCAGTCAAGACGGTGAATGCTGTCTTTGCTCCTTGTCTTTTCATTATGCCTGCCTAGCAAGCCCATGTTGGATCCCCAGGCTTTTCTTTGCCTGCATCTGGGCTCCTCGGTAGCTTTGGAGAAAATATCTATAGCCTTTCAGGTTGATAACACTATTAGTCCAACCCGGACAGCCCAGAAAATTATCCTGTTATGTTCTGTCGGTCTCTAAAATGGCCACGTCTTCATTACCTTCAGTTTCCAACTCCCAGCCCCTTCACCCTCAACGCCAACCACACCTGAGGCAGGTCCTTTCTACTCAGCAGAAGCTGGTACCTTCTACTTCTTAGGGAAAACAGGAGCCATCATGTGGAAGCCAGTGCAACTTGCTGCCACCACACCTAAAAACCTGTCTCCATCCATATCCTTTTCTCTTTTTCTTCTGTCTTGTAGAAGCAACAAATGAATGCATTCAAGGGAAGATGACTATCTGTGGGAAAAAGTCAAAGCTGCTGCTTGCTGAGTGCTTGTTTTTTGCTAAGCATATCATAAGCATTTTGCATAACGTCATCTAAATAGCCTCCTGAGACAAGTAGCTGTATACCCATCCGATAGGCAAGAAAACTGAGGCTTGGAGAAGATGGGATCAAAATCACACAGCTATTGCTGTGCATGAGAGAAAAATGGTACTACTCAGTATATTCAGCAGGGAGGGCAGGAGGGGCTTCTCCGAGTAAATGACATCTGAGTTCTGTTTGAATAGGAGTGCCCTCCACAGGCTCATGTTAGAATTCTTAGTCCACAACTGGTGGTACTGTTTTGGGAGGCTGTGGAAACTTTAGGAACTATAGGCAGTGGGTCACTGGGGCCGGGGCTTTGAAGGTATCCCTGGCTCCAAGATGTGTCTCTCCACTTCCTTTCTGCCATGGAGAAGCCCTTCCATCACATGCTACCATCACTATGATGTTTTGCCCTGGCTCGTGGGTCCAAGGAACTGTGGATTGAAATCGTTGAGACCCAGAGCAAAAATAAGCATTTCTTTCCCTTAAATTGTTTATGTTGGCTATATCATCACAGCTGCCAAAAGTCACTAATATAAGTTCTAAGAGGCAGCCACGCATCAAAATGAGGCTGTTGGGTCAAAGAGCATTTCAAGGAGAGGGAACAACAAGATCAAAGTCCTTGTCAGGAGAGGGCTTGGAATTGTCAAGGAACTGAATGAAAGCTGTTGATGCTAAGATGAAGAAAGTGTGAAAAGCTTGGCAGAGATGATCATATACTGACTCTGTGTATGACCGTTGAAGGTTTCAAGTATGGCCCTAACATGTGCATAGATGGAATAAATAAAATACTTGGCACAAGTATGTTCATTTAAAATACATAGGGGTTGTTTTGACAAGGACCGTAACAAAGAGTTGTTATGTAATTCTTAGCTTCCATTACTTAAAATGCATTTGTTAACATGCAAAACTATAATGCAAATGTAACCTGCAAATACAATGCCTTAGGGTGGAAAGATCTGTGGAGTGTTTTAATGTGAAAAGGGACTCTGTATATTCAGATTAGTAATTTACTAAAAACAACTGTTCTCACTACCATTTTGATTAGTAGAGATCGGACACAAATATAATAGGTTTTCATTCCCAAATTTGTTTTGTGTTTCTGGTTCTCTTAGCTTAATTTTTTTATTTTTCAGATTTATTTTTATCTTTTTGTGTATGTGATGCACGTGTCTGTGTGACTGTGTGGCATGCATGTGTGGGCGCCCTAGGAGGCCAGACGATATAGTGTTGGGTCCCCTGATGCTTGAGATATAGGTGGTTCTGAGCTGCCTGAAGTAGGTGCTGGGAACTGAACTTGTGTCCTCTAGAAGAGCAAGCCCCCTTAGCTTACCTCTCAACTCTTATCTCTCAAGCCCCTTAGCTTAACTTTTTAGGTCACTTTAATTGCTACATTTTAATTCATATTGATTTAAAATAAAA